GTTGGATAAGTCAGATTAGATTGAAGTTGAAGATATATTATTAGGAATATTATACATAAAAATGTTAATTCAGAAATAAAAAATCGGTATACAAATTAATAAATATTTATTTTTAACATAAAATAAAATACCTATATTAAAAGTATTTTTGTTATCGAATATTGTTTTAATTTTACAAATAACTCTAAAGAAATATTTTGGATTTTGTTTTTACTTAGTATTTAATACTAATTAGGTACTTAAGTATGGGTATATACCTTTATACGTAGTTTATGGTATATTTTACTATTATATAGGTAACTGAACTAAATATGCTTAACAGGAATATTCCTAAATGAACTTTCTATAGCAATTACTTTCTTAACATTCTAAGCATATGCTTAGAGTAGACTAATTTTTACCACTAAAACTTTACACCTTCTAAGAACCTGCCTATAGGCCAGTAAGAATATTCTTAAGATCATGCTATATGTCTTTTAAGCATGTTCTTTGGAAGAAATATATATATGCTATAGCATGATCCTAAGAATATTCTCACTGGAAGGTTTAAAAAACAGTCCAAATAAAAAAAAATAACCCACAAATTTACCATATGACAGCCCTGATAGAATGAGATTTATTTTTTACAAATTGGTAATGGTATTGACATTTTAAATGTCAATCTAGCGACTGCTAATTGTTTTGTCATCGCGAACCATGTAGATGGCAAAATTTAATTAATTAACGTTTTTTGACCTTTAGAGCCAAAAATTACCATGTTAAATGCCGACCTATCAATTTAATTAAAAGTTTCGAGACGTGTTTAAAGTGGGTCACACGATGTCTAGATCAGTTTTTTAAGATTTAAAGTGAATTAGGTATTGAACATTTAACGAAACTCTATTTCTATTACTAAAAACGTTTACATTAAAATGTAATTTTTTGGAGAATTGGTATTTGAAAATTGGGTAAATAAATATTTAATATACCTACCTCATTTCGTTTATATAGTTTTCGGAGAAAATTAAACAATATTTTGTTATGAGAACATAGATAATGTAATAAATATACTGTTCCAGACCGGGCCAGTCACTTTTTCAAACAGTTTCTGAAACATCTGTGTTTTCTAAATTTGAATGCAAGGGAAGTGACGAGTATACCAGGGTACTAATTAAATACATAATTTATTGGAAAATATAAGATTTATTGCAACTTTGAGCATATTATACATTAAATATCTTAAAATCAAGTAATACCACACATCAGTGGCGGCTGGTGGATTTTGGGTATACCGATATCTCAATTATTAGATATGTGACCCACACCAAATTTATAAGAGTTTATAATGACATTAAATAAACAAGTTCTGCGCAAGCAGAATTTAAATTGAAGTTTGCGAAAAAAAGATAACCGAAACATCGAACATGGAACTGAAGACACGGTACTGATAAATGGGATACAAATTTGAGATTATAATTCGGAATTAAGTATTTTACTGATATTTTTTATTAGTGGATGTTACTTATCAACAAATCACATATGGCCTTATATAAATTACAATACGTAAGAAAATAACTAATCACCACAGTACCGAAATTTTGACTGGCACTATACGTGCATTCACCCCAACTTCGCCGCTTGTATTGTTTTCAAGATGACTGCCGTGCAAAGGGCGGGCTCTGTAGGTAATTTTTTACCAACACTTGAGTTAAAACGAGGACTTGACGTTTAAACTTCAATATTTCGCAGGAATTTTGAATTTTAACATTGGACACAGAACTGACGGGTAAAAGTGAGTACAAAAGATTATCAATTTTTAAAAAATTGCTATTATTCGAATCTGTGATAAGATATGAAAAATACATTATTTAATGTTTTATAGTTTGTAGTGAAATTGAAAAATTTTAGATAAATTGAATATATTTTAAAATAAAATCACTCAAATATTTGATTCAGGAGTTGTGACACGCCAAGGTACTGATGTTTTGAATATTTATTATGTTTTTCTACAAACGTGCTTTTAAAAAAATACATTAAAATTGGGTGGACAAGTTAAAAAACCTGGATCTTTTGTAATATACCTACTAAAATATTTACAAAAAATGTTAAAATACCTAGGTACTCTACATCAAGTTGTCAAACTTTTGTAGAATCACCCTTATAGGTACCTATACCTACAAATACAGGCACAAAAAACAATTAAAAATGTTGTACCTAGGTATTTAAATTTTTGTAAAATATCGTTAAGTTAACTAATTTCTTTCTCTGGGTAATAGCATTTATGGTAAACCCTTCACTCGATATAAGAGTAAAATTCGTGTGTTGTTGACCGTTGCAGCCACTTTCTTTTCAGGCTCGTTTTTAACGAAAGAGGAGATACAACTTTTATATACAGGCCATCTTCCGGCTGTAGAAAGCGGTAGATAAAACACTATTAACATTCGCCTCCAGCCATGAACACAACGTTCATTCATTCAATAATTTATTTCTACATTTTTAATTTTGTAATAAAATTGACAACATTTTTATTTCATATTAGGTAGGTAGTTTTTTTGTAAAATAAATATTATTATTATTTTCTGAGCACCCTGTGTATAGGATTTAACATATTTAAGTGAGAATAGCATTTTTAATAATATTATAACAAGTTAGACTTTTTATAAGGTAAATTATTTCAGGAAATCACTAAAAATGTACAAAAAGTTAAAGGAATCTCATCTTTTATGTAATTTGAGCTCTATAACTGTATATAATGAAAGCAAAAATAAGTATGGAGGCTCAATGGTCTAGGGGTATGATTCTCGCTTTGGGTGCGAGAGGTCCCGGGTTCAAATCCCGGTTGAGCCCAATTTTTTTTTTAAATATTTTTCATATTTTATCATAGATTCGAATAATAGCAATTTTTAAAAAATTGATAATCTTCGTACTCACTTTTACCCGTCAGTTCTGTGTCCAATGTTAAAATTCAAAATTCCTGCGAAATATTGAAGTTTAAACGTCAAGACCTCATTTTAACTCAAGTGTTGGTAAAAAATTACCTACAGAGCCCGCCCTTTGCACGACAGTCATCTTGAAAACAATGCAAGCGGCGAAGTTGTGGCGAATGCACGTATAGTTCCAGTCAAAATTTTAGTACTGTGGTGAGTAGTTATTTTCTTGCGTATATATATTTAATTGTAATTTATATAAGGCTATGTGTGATTAGTTGATAAGTAGCATCCACTAGGTAATAAAAAATATCAGTAAAATACTTAATTCCGAATTATAATCTCAAATTTGTATCCCATTCATCAGTACCGTGTCGTCGGTTCCATGTTCGATGTTTCGGTTATCTTTTTTCGCAAACTTCAATTTAAATTCTGCTTGCGCAGAACTTGTTTATTTAATGTCATTATAAACTCATATAAATTTGGTGTGGGTATATTTAATAATTGAGATATCGGTATACCCAAAATCCACCAGCCGCCCCTGATGTGTGGTATTATTTGATTTTAAGATATTTAATGTATAATATGCTCGAAGTTGCAATAAATCTTATATTTTCCAATAAATTATGTATTTAATTAGTACCCTCCCTGATAGCAAAATTTGATTCTAAGAATCTTCTAAGAAGATATGACCCGGAATAATGGAATATTCTTAGAACCTTCCCTTATTGCTAAGAATGTTCTTAGGGACTTTTAAAACATTCAATAGATACCCTTTTAATAATGCAATTAGATTCTTAGAAGCTTCTTAAAACCTTCCTAAAAAGCATTCTAAGAACATTTTAAGAAAAATCCAAATAGTTACTCATAAAAAAATATTTTTCATTGTATTTAAGTTGGATAGAAGATTTTATGTAAAAGCCGGATAATTTAGATACCTATAGTAAAAGTATTTTTGTTATCGAATATTGTTTTAATTTGACAAATAACTATAAAAAAAAATTTTGGGTTGTGTTTTTTACTTAGTATTTAATACTAAGTATAGGTAGATTATGATATATTTTACTATTATATAGGTACCAAACTGAACTGAATATGCTTAACAGAATGTTCCAGGAATATTCCTAAATGAACTTTCTATAGCAATTACTTTCTCAACATTCTAAGCATATGTTTAGAGTGGATTTCTTTGCACCTTCTAAGAACCTGCCTATAGGCCAGTAAGAATATTTTTAGGATTTTGCTATATTTCTTTTAAGCATGTTCTTTAGAAGAAATATAGCATGATCCTAAGAATATTCTCACTAGAAGGTTTAAAAAACATTCTTAGAATCTGACTAGAAGAAATATAGCATGATCCTAAGAATATTCTCACTGGAAGGTTTAAAAAACATTCTTAGAACATGACTAGAAGAAATATAGCATGATCCTAAGAATATTCCCACTGGAAGGTTTAAAAAACATTCTTAGAATAAACTGTGCTATCAGGGCTGGTATACTCGTCACTTCCCTTGCATTCAAATTTAGAAAACACATATATTTCAGAAACTGTTTGAAAAAGTGACTGGCCCGGTCTGGAACAGTATATTTATTATATTATCTACCTATGTTCTCATAAAAAAATAGGTACTGTTTAATTTTCTCCGAAAAGTCAAAAGTTGCCCTTTTTGTAGAATCACCCATATACATTTCTTGTAGTACTTATGTACCCAGTTGGCACCTGTAAAAAATATCCGAACGTTTTTAAGCTGTAAGTGGGTATAATTAAATTTAAAAAAAATCTGTGGAATGTAGGGTAACCGATTGAAATTATACCTTTGTAGAAACCAAGTTGAAAGTAAAACCAGCTAAATAAAACTATATTAATTAAATGATAAATTATAGTACCCATGCCGTATAATTTTTTGTTCCGATTTACGTAGGTATGCAAATCTATAGAATTATCGATATTAGGTACTTGAAATGTGTTTTATAATGCGTGACCGAAAAATAACATAATCATATGGTACTAAAATAAAAGAAAACGCCAAAAACTTTCCCAAAACTGCCAATTTTATTAATTTTATGAACAAATTTGCTACAATTATCGCATAATTAATCATTTTTCATCTTCAAATCGTCCACAAACTCTAAAAATAAAAAAAAAACACATTATGCAACCTAATATACACAAGTATGCAACCCCGATTACACAAAACCCACCGTTTATGTAATCCTTATGATTAGGGTTTCTCTCCATAGCCTCCTTAATGGCCTTGTCAAACTCTGTCAGGTTTTCAAGGTAAAAATTGGCTTTAGCCAGAAGTAACCAAGACTTTAAACAATCCTCGTTCAGTCGCAAAGCCCAGTTTAAATCTGGTAAAGCTTTTTCGTATAATTTTAGTTTTATGTATGTTAGAGCCCTATTGTTGTATAGAACGACGCTATCCCTAATTAAATCTAACGCCTTAAATAATAAAAAATGTTATACAGCAAAAATGTTGCATAAAAACTCACTTTAGTGTATAAAGTCAAAGCTTTTTCATACTCCTCTCTTCTGAAAGCTTTGTTGGCTTGTTTTTTTAGCGTTTCCATTTTCTCCATTCGCACCAACTTATCTTTGTAACGTTTTTCTGCATCTACTTCAACTTCTTTCATGAATGCCTCTGAAAGGAGCGATATTTCATTAGGGCTTTGTTCTATGTAAAAAACATACATAACATTTTTTGTGTAGAATTTAAAAATCTACAATTTTTGTAATGCAACATTTTCCCCTCCGACCAATGGGAAGCGAGATATTTGCAAAAAACAAAAACTCTTCTTATATTTACCTGGTGATTGGGTTTTACCGTCATCGTTGCTCTCTTTTTTATGCAAAGCCTTCTTGTTCAGAACAGTTCTGTCACATTTCACCCTAATATCGACTTCATCAACATCCACGATTTTGTTTTCGACGTCATCTTCACCTAAATACTTTTTAGCTTCGAAATCGCCCATCATTTGTACGTTTTTATCGTCCGAAGTCATTTTCTTGACGATATTGTTGATATCCGTGACTCGCATCATAAAATTATTAAATTCTTCTTCAGTTTTCCTATCCATTTTGCGTTTTTTGAAGGGTATCGAACAAACATCAAAGTTACGCCGCAACGTAGGCAACCCAGATTTCACCTAACCTAACATTTATTTTTAAACGTCAAACTTGACATTGAAACGTCAAGGGGTGTATTTACTACTTCCAGTGGATGTTTTATTGATCAATTGATAATGTGGCCTGTGTTTTACGCCGCTTTAAGGTCTTATGCGCCCTACATAACCCTACCTTTTGCCGGAATTGTTGGTTTGATAGGCTATAGTATAGAAAACGCACTTTCCGATAAATATACGCCGTATAATAGTAAGTATTCAGTGTTTATTGCAGCAAAAATGTTATTGGACTGTTTTTAGAGTCTATTGAAGAGCAGAGAAGAGATAGGTTGTCTTCCGATGACAAATTACAGTCTGCCGGTCAAGTTGAGAAATTGCAATATAGTGCTAATGTTTTGGGTACCAATTTAAGCCCATCTTTGAGTTAATTATGTTAGTTTTAGTGTGTACATAGAATAAAGTATCCCCAAATAAAACAATATATATATTTTTTTATTATTCACCTCTATATTTCACAATATTATTTTCAGTTTCGTAAACTTCGACTTCATACAATAACTCAGGTTCACTCATAATACTTTTAAGGTTTTGCCATATAAATACTGCTAAATTTTCGGTTGTGCTAGGTTTCATCAAAAAAAACTCTACATCCTTATCCAAGTTTTTGTGGTCCATCGGGATCATTATAGCCTGTTGCATATATTTTTTCAAGTTGGTCATATTCATAATCATTCCTGTATTATGGTTAATTTCACCAAATAATGTAACTTTAACTAAAAAAATAAATAAATACAATGTTGTGTCTTTTATAAGGCATATTAATAAATACCTATATAATTGTGTCCATGACCATTAATATGATTGCATTTACCAAAGGTTTCCTTATTTTCTTCATCACTTAACATAGGGCTTCAAAAATACATACAAAAAATAATTTTTATTGGGTTTTATTACAATAAAATTAAACTCAAACCTATGCAAACGATGGCATGCGGAAAAGGTCATTCTTCTAATCATATATCCTTTAGGTTGTTTAGTTAAATCGCCCATAATTCGTAAAAATATGTTAAAAAAGAAAAAAATATGGAATGTTAAACATAATGTCTAGAGTCCCGTCAGACGGGTCTCCATTGCGCTCCCGTTCAAACTTTGTGACGTCACACACTGTAAATAGGTATTATTTTTCGAACGATAGGATTATTACAATAACCTCGGTAGCTCGATGGAAGGGCGCCTGCTTTGCATGCGAGAGGTATGTGGTTCGATACTTCGTGCCTGTACAACTTTTTTTAATTTTTTTTTAAAGAATTTATATACCGAAATAATACAATGTGGCCTTAAAAGCATTTATATTTAATTTTACATTAATATTTTAATTTATTTACCTTTCCTCATAATTATTTTGCTAGTTATATCATTGGTTATATAATATAAAATGTAATTAAATGAATATTCCTTCGTTGAAAAATTTTTACTCAATGGGGCGGGGGGGGGGCCAATGGGGCGGGGTCGGTTGGGTTGGTTTGTTGGGTTTGGGTTGGTTTCGAAGCGGGCGGACTCGGGACGTTGGTTAAGGAAAAAAGATCTGCTTCCCGTCCTAAGATTGCGTCATTTGATGACGTCACTCTGTTAACGGGAGCGCAATAGAGAACCGTCTGACGGGACTCTAGACGCGGCGAATGTTAAATGTCTATGGTATATCCTTGAACTAACCATAGTCGTAACAAATTATGGATAGATATTAATTGTTTACCTTGATATATGCAACAATTTACATTTTAATACTTATAATTAGGTGAAGAAACTGCATATATTATATTATACAACATTTTAAAAGGATTCTTACATCAATATTAGTACAATTGAAATAAGAAATTATCTACATCTACATTCTTCAATGTCAATGGAACAATAAGTGAGGTTATGGAGTACTTCATAACCTCACTTATTTTAAAAATCAATACCTGTTGCTAAAAAAACATAAACAAAATGAGCGGGGGCCTGGTACCCAGCAGAAGTACAGTGTACATATCAAATTTACCTTTTGGTTTGAAAAATAACGACATCCACAAGATATTTGAGAAGCATGGCAAAATCATAAAGTAATTTTTGAGTTTTCCTTTTTTAACAATGTTTATTAACTCTTATTTTTCAGAGTGACAACTTTAAAGGACAGAGCTAACAGGCTTAACAAAGGTGTGGCGTTTATATTGTATTTAAACACGGAAGATGCAAAAAAATGTGTCGATGAAACAAACGACAAAGAGGTGTGTTCGTCATACATTAATGAACTTATATATCAATATTCATTTGTTTTGTTGCCAGATGTATGGTAGAACGTTAAAAGCAAGCATAGCCAAAGACAATGGCAGAAGTTCAGAGTTTATACGTCGAAAAGAATACCCGGACAAAACTCGATGCTATGAATGCGGCGAGTTTGGACACTTAAGCTACAAATGCGAAAAAAATTTACTAGGCGAAAGGGAACCACCGCCAAAAAAGGTGCGGAAACGTAAAAAAAAGGATGAAAATGCAAAAAAATCAAACAACACTGACGATGATGAAGATACCCCCGTAGAAGAAGATTGCGAAACGCTCAGCGCTGCTATAGCCTTGGAACAGGAAAAAAAAGAACTCGAGGAGTACAGATATAAAGTGGCCAGTGGTAATTACGATGATGAAGTTGAGGTTTCTTCAAAAAGTGGCAAAAAAATCAAAAAGAGCGCCTATTTCAGCGATGAAGAAGAATCTGACTAATATTATGAAAATCTGTGTATATTTGAGTCTATTTATTGCAATTAAACCTTAATAAACGTATTTTAATGATATTTTATTCAAATTCCCCGCCATTTTGATTTTTACGCTGTTGGTAGCAATGATTATACACTGTTGCCATATGGTAGTTTACATTGATGTAAGTACTGTAAATAACCCCAAAACACCAACAAAAACAAAGTAATTTTGACTTAAAAAATATTATAATTAATATTTAATCGGTTTTCATACAAAAACTAGACAAACATCGCAAAAGTAACATATTAAATTGGTAAAATAAGCTTGTCAACGTTGCTTGAGCATCAAACAACGTAACTTGGCGCGTCGCCGTGTTTTTCTCGATTGCTTTTAAAATTTAACAAAAATATACGTCAAGTTTGTACTTGTTATGCTACTCAGAGCATAATTTAAGTATTGATGTACATTTTGGTGACTTAACTTGCGCGTAAAGTGAGTATTTTCGACGGTATTCGCTGTTATAACCTTCTAGTTTTGACGTTTCCAAAAACGGCCTTCTCAAGTGAAGATTAAAGATGAGCGGCAAAGGGAAGAAAAGCGAGGAAGAGTACGTGGTGGAGAAGGTGATGAACAGCCGCATTACAGCGGCAGGGAAGAAGGAATACCTACTTAAATGGATAGGTTATGACCATGAAGACAATACCTGGGAGCCAGAGGAGAATTTGGATTGCCCTGGGTTGATTGAAGCGTTCGAGAACGAAAAGAAGGCCAGGGAGAAAACGAAGAAACGCAAAAGCGACGGCACGCCGCTGCAAGAATCGAAGAGTGCCAAGAAGAAGGTCGAAGATAAGAAAACAATTGGTTTTGACAGAGGCTGTGAACCAGAGAAGATTTTAGGTGCTACAGATTGTTCAGGTATAGATTTATTAGAAGGTGTTTTTATTTAATTTATGTAATTTGTATTTTCAGGACAATTAATGTTTTTGATGAAATGGGTCGGCACAGATGAGGCAGATTTGGTGCCGGCAAAAACTGCAAATATCAGGTGCCCTCAAGTTGTCATAAAATTCTATGAAGAGAGGTTAACTTGGGCAACGAATTCAGAAAAAAATCCTGAATAGTTTTCTTTTGACTTCATTGTTTTTTTTGCAAAATTGTGCTATATTTTTAAGGTCGATAATTTAAGAAGATTGTTATTATGACAGTATAGGTACTTACGTCTAGTGATTCTTTATATAAAAAAATATAAAACCTCAATGTTGTTTTATTTATTGTATTTACTGCTACACTGGAGTGTTAATTTAGTGAATGCTCTAGTGGGGAAAAGTGAGGTTAAAACCGTTTGACAGATGTCAGATTTGTAAAAAGTGAGGTTAAATTTGTCCTACAGATGTCAGATTCATAAAAAGCCATTTTTAAGAGAAAAGTTTCCATAGAATGTCAAAATTTAATTAACGAATTTTTCAAATACTTTCAGATTTATTACAGCAGATTCCAAGAAAATATTGGCTTTTGAGCATTTTAGTCACGGGCTGAAGTTGGCTTTATTATAAATTGGGAAAAGTGAGGTTAAATCCGATGACATTTGACAGATGTCAAATGTTTAACATATTAAATTGGCTTTAAATTCTTATTTGTGCTATTTTATTTATTTTGCAAAAATTCTATAAAAAAAATTAATTTTACACCTTAAATTTAATTTGGTCGAATTTTACTTTAGGTAGTTGGTATGAGTCATTGGTTTGACAGTTAATGTCAAAATCGATTCGCCATGCCGTCCTTAATTTACTTATTCACAATAAGCGGCTGTTAATGTTAAAGAAGAAAAAAAGGATTTTCTTTGGTGCTAAACAAAATTTATTTCCAGAAAAGTCTCGTAAGTACTGGAAAAATCATAAAAATATTATAACCAATATGCAAAATATTATGCTGTTTGAAGTATAGCCAACCTATAAAATCAAAATTTTGGGTAGGATAAAGCACCGAAAGCGGTGTTATAATGAAGTCATTATAATCGCAAAATAGATAAAGTATTTTAAAACGTTAATTTTGCCCTTATACCAACAAATTAACAATTTATATTGTTAATTATTTATTTTTATGTTGTTTTAAGTTTTTTATGATACTTTAAATTGTGATAAAGTATTAATTTATTAATTAAAATACTTACGTTTTATTTTTATTACATTGGCAGCGCTGAATTTCCGTCACAGCCTACTGTTGTTATTTATTTATCACTTCAAATTTAAATTTATTTACTTACCTGTATTATCCCAAATTAAAAGAAGGTGTAGGTAGTAAAACAAAAAATATTACAAATAAATTTTTATTAAATCCTGAAAAATACATTTTTCGAAAATGTTCAACGTTAAAATTTAAAAAATCATCCCAAATTTAACTTTCAATTGACAAAATACAAAATAAACTATTATTTTAAAATATAATACATTTAATTATCAGTCATTAAAGTTTTAACAGTAACTTTTACACAAATTAAAAAATTAATATACAGGGGTTAAATGAAAAATATTTTTTTTAATTTGCTGCGGTATAACGATAAACACCCTGTATAAAAATTGTTGTTCATCAAAAATAACATTTTTGTTACAAATTTATAAATTTAAATTAACTGATTTTTAACAAGAACCAACATTAAATTCAATAAATATAAAAAATACATAAAGTCGTCCACAAAATAAATATACGTAATTAAATTAAATTAAATTAAAATATAAAAGGACACCCTTTTCTACTTTGATATAAATACAAACAAAAATAACTAAGCGTTTCGTTTTTTGTGTGTATTATTATTCGTATATATGCGTGTTTTTTTAATTATCGGCTATTTTCTACAAATAAAAAATTAGCTGGTCCAATCAGTGGCGGGGGATATGGCTTTCATGAAGGGGGGCCCGCTGATTGGGGAGCCAGGAAAACGTTGCATGTACCTTTCGAGACGTAAATATTTTACTGTGACGAGATGTCCCGCGTACCTGTAAAAAATGTGGAATTTATGCAACAGCGCATTCGAAAAAAATTACACCTAAATACAGGGTGTTATGTAATTAATGTTATATATTAAAATGGGTTGTTCCTTAGGGTCCATAAAGAAGCACCTGAAACTTTTTTTTCTAAATTCCAAAGTCTAAAAATAATTTATAATAACCTTTATCCAACCAAAAAGTACGCCACTGATCGACTAGGAACTTTAGGTTAATCTGGTGGATTCATTATGTTATGGTTGGTAACAGTGTTTCCAAAATCTCTCAAAAAAATTGACAAACATTGTTTAAATTTAGCTTAATTACAAAAATGACAAAATTAACAATGCAAATTGTCAATTTGGCGTTTTTATTAATTGTTGGTTATGTCATTTTTGTCCTGAAGGTAAATTCAAACAAAATCTGCCAACTTTTATGACAGAATCTAGTGCATTTCTTTTAAATTTTAGGTTATGTTTTCAAATTGTAAATATCTTAACTAAGGGAAGTGCTTTTGGATTTATTTACACAAATTAAATGTTTAAAGTTTAACCTGTGAACTGGTCCCAATTTCATCTGAGTAAACAGAGAAAAAAACTGATGAAAAAATTAATTTTGTGGTTATGGATTTCAAATTTCAAAGGTACTAAATTTTCTAATCATTGCTTAAGCTAATAGCTGGATCAGTAAATAAATACAGAAGGGTATTAGAGCTTTAAGGGCATAAAACTTTTGTATTTATTGAGTTTTTATTTATTTTTTGCAAGAAAAATTTTTAGTAACAATTTTTTACATCTGGCAACGCATAGCTACTTTGTTGGTTGGTATCTATGTACTCACAAAATACAAGTGTGCAGAGATAAACTAAGTGTGTAACCAGTGGCGTATCACAAAAAATATAAAAAACTTCTAATGCATATTTTTTCTTTATCTTTAGAAAAATGTTTTTTTAAATATTTTTTCTTTATTGATTATGTCAAAAGGTATTCAGTATTTTAATATATAACATTAATTACATAACACCCTGTATAAAAAAAACTTACGTAGCAGTTGCGCGAGGGGTAGGCACTTGCCCCCTATTTTTACGTAACCCGGTTGGCATTTAATGTGGATGATTCTCCTTAGCAGAAAAATATTTTTTGTTGGTGGTTTTACCTCCGTGTTCTTATCACCGTCAACTTTTGAAGTAACGCACAAAAGCAAATAGAAAATCGCGAAAATGCAAAGTTTTGACCACATTTTGCAAAAATTGCGAATTCAATTCGATTAAAAGTGTTGAATGTTAAAAAGATTTAAAAAGATAAGGGATCTTGTATAAATATTTTTAAGAATATTGTCGTCATTATTAATTAAATATTTATTTTATATAAATTATTGTTAAGATTTTTCTGGAAAATTTTCTGATTTATTAAACGTTTTTTTTATAGGAAAGTATAAAAAATTCTTCAAACGGCGATAAAAAATGTATTTCTGAGAAAAAACATTTTCTGGGAAGTTCAAAATTTTTCTTTTTCTTTTTGTATTTTTGTTTTACATAATAATCTTTTTAATTAGGCTTAATTATGTATATAGAGCACAGTATAAATAATAAAACAATTTCAAAATTTATAAAATTTTCAAAACTTTTAGGACACATTCCAAAAATATCACAAACTTTCATAATTTTAAAATCTATTTTCAAATATTTTTAAAACTTCTAAAATCCTTTTTTTATTTTTAAAGTTTCCAACATTTTCTTCCAAGGCCTTTTAAAAATATTGGAAATTAAAAAAAAATCAAATTTAACAGTTTGAAAATTGTATAACACTGCATATAGAACTGTCACTGCCATTGCATTAAGTATAAAATCGTTTTAGAAATTTTAATAATTTTGCAAATTGCAGAAATTTTGAGAATATTAGAAATTTTGAATTTTGAGTTTTAACAAAATTAAAAGATTTTAAATATCTCAAAAACCTTAATAAAAATTTCAAAAATGTGGAAATGAATTTTTTGAAGAAATTTGTCAAATTTTATAGATTTTGAAAATTGCAGAAATTTTGAGAATATTAGAAATTTTGAGTTTGAAATTTAAAAGAATACGTTAAAAATTTTAAAAAATGTTGAAATCTTTATAATATTGAAAATTTAAAAATTTTGATTTTTTTGGAAGGTTCAAAATTCAGAAATTTGGCAAATCTTATAGTTTTTGAAAATTATACAAAATTTGTGAATTTTAGAAATTTAAATTTTTTAAATTTTAAATCTTGAAAAACTTAAAAATTTGAGAAATTTTGATAATTTTGAATTTTTAGGAAGTTTTTTAAGAATTTCAGAAATTTTACAAATTTCAAAGGTTTTTTTAAATTTCTACCACCGGTTTTGTAGAATTTATAATAATGTTTGTGTTTGTCCTATTATTTTTTTAAATTCATGCTACTCATTTTAAAATTAATTTTTTATTTTATTTCAAATTTTATAGATTTTGAAGATTGTAGAAGTTTAGAGAATTTTTTGAGTTTGAGTTTGTCCTACCATTTTTTTTTAATTCGTGCTACTCATTTCAAAATTTAGTTTTTGATTTTTTTGCAAATTTCAAAAATTAGGCAAATTTTATAGATTTTGAAGGTTTTAGAAAATTTAAAAAACTGGAAATTTTAAAAAACTTAATTATTTTAAGAATTTTAGAATTTTGAAACTTTATCCAACCATTTTTTTATATTCAAACTAATGTGCGAATTTTACATATTATTTTTCAAATTTTGGAATTTTTAAAAATTTTAGTCACAAAAATGTAAAATGTAAAATTTTAAAAATCTTAGTGCACTTTAAAATTTTAAAAATTTCAATTTTTTTTGGAAAGTTCAAAATTCAGAAATTTGGCAAATTTTTTGAATTTTAAATCTTGAAAAACTTTAAAATTTGAGAAATTTTGATAATTTTGAATTTTTAGGAAGTTTTTTAAGAATTTCAGAAGTTTTACAAATTTCAAGAGTTTTTTTAAATTTCTCCCACCGGTTTTGTAGTATTTATAAGTAATACTGTTTGTATTTGTCCTATTATTTTTTTAAATTCATTTTTAAATTAATTTTTTATTTTTTTCTGACGATCCCATATTAACGAAAAACATTTCTTGCGTTATAATAAAAATGACGTTCGAACATTTGTACTTATTTGACGTTGTAAACAATTTATTTATATTGTATTAGCACTAATAAAGATTATTATTATTATCATTGTAGTTACTCACCACCATCCGTGCAGGTTCCTGTAGGCGACTGCGGCGTCCGCCTGGTCGGCGCACTTGAGGTACACGCAGCTGGAGTGCGCGTCGACCGCGCAGTGCAGGATGCGGCACTGGTGCGCGCATTTGCCCAGCACGGCCTCGCGGATCGCGCGCTGCGCCTCCCCCGCCTGCCCGCCCCCCTCCACCTCCTCGGCCATGCCGCGGATCTTCAGGCAGGGAGTGGGCGAGCACTGCAGGCCGTTCACGCTGCCCGCCTGCGTCTCGAACGCCTGGCCCTGCCAGCTCTTGTTGTTGCGCGGAGAGCTAAAGAAAAATAGTTCGTTGTTGTTAATCGTTTGCGTTCGCAAGGAGGTTCGGTAAATTGCGGGGAAAAGGGCGAGAGGAGTTGATTTTATACTTAATGCAATGGCAGTGACAGTTCTATATGCAGTGTTATTTAAAATCTAAATATTAGTCACAAGTGAAAACGAATAAAGAAAAAAATATTTAAAAATTGTTTTAGAAGTTTTGATAATTTTGCAAATTTTTAAGTTTAAAATTCAGAAATTTGTCGAATTTTATAGATTTTGAGAATTGCATTAGAAATTTTGAGTTTAAAATTTAAAAGAATGTTCAAAATTTCAAAAATGTTGAAATCTTTGAAATATTAGAAATTTTGAGAATTTCTAAATTTTTGAAAAATTTGGAAATTTTGAATTTTTTTGAAAGTATAAAATTCAGATATTTCGCAAATTTTATAGATTTTAAAAATTGAAGAAATTTAGAGAATTTTGGAAAATTTTGAAATTTTGAAAACTGGAAATTTTAAAGACTAAATATTTAAAATTGAGTCTTGAGAATATAACTAAATTTAAAAGATTTTAAATATCTTAAAAATTTCAAAAATGTTAAAAATCTTTAAAATTTTACAAATCGCAAGGAGGTTCAGTAAATTGCGGGGAAAAGAGTGAGAGGAGTTGATTTTGTGCTTAATGCAATGGCAGTGACAGTTCTATATGCAGTGTTATTTAAAATCTAAATATTAGTTGTTAAAACGAATAAAGAAAAAAATATTTAAAAATTGTTCTAGAAATTTTGATAATTTTGCAAATTTCGGAAGTTTAAAATTCAGAAATTTGTCAAATTTTATAGATTTTGAAAATTGCAGAAATTTTGAGATTATTAGAAATTTTTAAAATTGAGTTTTATTAACTAATTAACTTATTAAATAAATAGGTATCTAAAAAAATTTCTAAAATGTTGAAAATCTTAGAAGTTTTGTAAATTTTTCAAAATAGGGGTTTTTTGGAAAGTTTAAAATTCAGAAATTTGACAAATTTTAAAAATTGAAGAGAATATAACTAAATTTAAAAGATTTTAAATACCTTAAAAACTTAAAAATTTTAAAAATGTTGAAAATGTATGAAATTTTAGAAATTTTACAAATTTTGGAATTTTTGGTTAATTTCAGATATTCGTCAAAATTTATAGATTTTGAAAATTGCATAATTTTTGAGATTAGAAATTTTGAATTTTGAGTTTTAACTAAAATTAAAAGAATTTAAATAGATATATTTAGATTTAAAATTTTAGAAATTTTGCAAATTTTAGAAAGTATGAATTTTTTGAAAAAATTTGTCAAATTTTATAGATTTTGAAAATTGCAGAGATTTTGAGAATATTAGAAATTCTGAATATTGAGTTTTAACTAAATTTAAAAGAATTTAAATAGATATATAAAAATTTTTGCAAATTTTGGAAAAATTTAGTAAATTTGAATTTTTTGGAAAGTTTGAAATTCAGATTTTGGCAAATTTATAGATTTTGAAAATTGAAGAAATTTAGGGAATTTTGGAAATTATTGAAATTTTGAAAACGTTGAAAATCTTTAGAACTGCAAATTTTGTAATTTTTTTAAAATTTATAGATTATAGAGCTTTAACAAAATTTAAAAGATTTTAAATAACTTCAAAATTCCAAAAATATTGGAAATCTTTACAATTTTACAAGTTTAAAATTCAGAAATTTGGAAAATTTTATAGATTTTGAAAATTGAAGAAATTTAGAGAATTTTTGAAATTATTGAAAATTATTTAAAAACTGGAAATTTTAAAGAATAAATATTTAAAATTGCAGAAATCTGGAGAATATAACTAAATTTAAAAGATTTTAAATATCTTAAAACCTGAAAAGTTTTAAAATGTTGAAAATCCTTTAAATTTTATAGAATTTTGGAAATTTGAATATATTAAAAAAATTTAATTTTGATTTTAAAATAAATTTAAAATATTTAAAATATCTTAAAAAAACTTAAAAATTTCAAAAATGTTGGAAATTTTTGACTTAAATAAAATATTTAAAATTGCAGAAGTTTTGAGAATATTAAAAAAATTTAATTTTGAGTTTAAATTAAATTTAAAAGATTTTAAATATTTTAAAAAAACAAGAATTTCAAAAATGGTGGAAATATTTATAAATTTTAAAGATTTGCAAATTTTGAAATTTTTTTAGCAAATACAAAAATTTGTCAAAATATATAAATTTGAAAAAGGCAGAAATTTTGAGAATATTAGAAATTTTGAGTTTTAAATTTAAATTTAAAAGATTTTAAATATCTTAAAAAATCAAATTTTGGAATCTTTAAAATTTTAGAAATTTTGGATTTTTTTTTAAGTTTCCAAATTATAAATTTGAAAATTTTTATAGATTTTGAAAATTGAAGAAGTTTAGATAATTTTGTAAATTTAGAGTTTTATATAAATTTAAAAGATCTTAAAAAAACTTAAAAATGTTGGAAATATTTAAAATTATAAACATTTTGAAATTTTGCTACCATTTTTTTAATTGTACTGTTACTCATATCAAAATTAAGTTTTTGGTTTTTTTTGGACACCCCCATATTAATGAATTTTTTGAAAAGTTTAGAATTCAGAAATTTGACAAATTGAATAGATTTTAAAAATTGTGGAAATTTAGAGAATTTTAATTGTTTTTCTTATAATTTATTTTAAAAACGAAATAATAATAATATTCAAAAAATTGTTTCTGTAGTTCGATAATTTGTTTCAAAAATAATAAAAATAAACAAAAATACGCAAAACTATTAAATAAATTACCTTGACAATCCTAATGTGGCGCTACCAATCCATCTCCACACTTCATAGGGCTCACCCTGCACATTCTGGACTTCAGTCCTCACCCTGGACTCATTTTCGTTGATGAATTGAACAGCCTTGTTCCAAGTCTTTTCTTTTGCTGCAATTTTTTCGTCAATTGTATGTTATCGTTAATTTAAAGAGTACTTACTTTGTCTATCTTGCACAGGCAAAATCATATCTCTGATGTGATTGATGACCACGTAGTTTTCACCTTCTTCAGTGGCACTGGTTTGTAAAATTTCAATAATCCTTTCCAACATCAAACCCAGTTCTTCCTTCTGTTTTTGCTGCTGGTGTTTGTAGTGTTTGTACCCGTAATTTAGAGAGTACAGCAGTGCGAAAGTCACAACAAGAAAAACTGCACTATTTAGTAAAAAGTAGACTATATTCGTCATACGACACATCCAAGGCAAGTCAGCGTCAAAAATGACCAGGCTGGTTACTTTTTTGTCTTTGTTGAAAATCACTTGTTCCTATGATAAAAAATACAGTCTTACTAACGTTTTGAAATCTACGACCAAAAAATATTTACCATGTTCGATATTTGATCGTCTTTTGTAGGTACTACATTCTTAGTCAAAGTCTGAACAATCCTAATGTTCCATTGCGGATTAGAATACGTCAAAATTTCCAGGTTCCTCAAGTCCTTTCTAATTTTTATGTCGTCCTAAATAGTAACCGGTAAATTTTTGTTTTATACACTCACAGGCAAAATAATCGATGAATTTCAATCGCAAATAACTTTTTTATTTGATGTCGGATTTAAACGAATATTAAAGAATATTGTAGATAATTAATGGACAATCGCTCACATTTTAAAAAATTACCAAAAAATAGACGTACGTTTATAATATACAGGTTTAAACAAAAATATGTTTTTTACCATAAGTTTAAGACACTCTGTAGAGTGGCAAAACCGTTTATTGTTCTATTTATCAAGTCACATCTATTCTTAACAGTTTTGTTTTTGGTTCACCTCGATATATTTTTTTTTTGTGGAAAATATGGATTTTTTTAAAAAACATTGCAATTTCCAATATTTTTCTGTATGAAGAACTAAGGTTGCTATGGTCCATCCATATGCTATGGAGAATGACAGTGACAGTTTTGTTGAATCATCCCATACTTGGACATGTCATACACGGCTTTCAAAAGCTATCAAATTGTTTTTTGCAAATTAATGTTTAAATTTTGAGGTGTCTTCTTACTTTCAAAAATGGATATGTCTCCGACTGATGTTGCCAGAGCCATTAATTTAATCCAGGATGGACGGTAACAGTATAACGTGGCAAGTGTTTTAAACGCCACAAGAAGTGAAGTACAAAGGTCAACATCAGTCGGAGACATTTTTAAAAGTAAGAAGACACCTCAAAATTAACACATCAATTTACAAAAAACAATTTGATAGCTTTTGAAAGCTGTATATGACATGTCCAAGTATGGGATGATTCAACAAAACTGTCACTGTCATCCTACGTAGGCTATGGATGGACCATAGCAACCTTAGTTCTTCATTCAGAAAAATATTGGAAATTGCAATGTTTTTAAAAAAAATCCATATTTTCCACAAAAATAAATATATCGAGGTGAACCAAAAACAAAACTGTTAAAAATAAATGTGACTTGATGAATAAAACTTAATTTAGAACAATATACGGTTTTGCCACTCTACAGAGTGTCTTAAACTTACGGTAAAAAACATCTTTTTGTTTAAACCTGTATATTATAAACGTACGTGTATTTTTTAGTAATTTTTAAAATGTGAGCGATTCTCCATGAATTTATCTACAATATTCTTTAATATTCGTTTAAATCCGACATCAAATAAAAAAGTTATTTGCGATTGAAATTCATCGAAAATTTGTGCGGATCGATTATTTTGCCTGTGAGTGTACATTTGTTAGTTAAGTACCTTAATACCGAAATTGTCGAGGCAGAAATCCACGATTTCGTCTTCGGTCATCGCAGACCGAGTCGTCGGCGACGCTCCGTCGCCGTCGCGGCGCTCGCACACGTTGGCAACAGCGCGCCGCGTTAATTCCACTTGTACGGCGTTTAAGAGATAGATGGCGTCAGCAGCGTCGCGTTCAGGGACGCAGTTGACGCCCGGTTTCGAGTCAGATCGGCAAGAGGCCATGGTGAATCCTAAAATGTACGTAGGACTTGTAGTTCTCGAGATACGAGACATAAAAGTTGAAGCAAGGCGAAAAACAGTTTTTCTCGATTATCCACTAAACCGTTAATTTTACGTTAATTTTGTATATAATAAAATTTGTTCCTCATGCAAGTTTGCATAAAAATGATTATATACAAAATGTACGTAGGACTTATCGTTCTCGAGATACGAGACATAAAAGTTGAAGCAACGCGAAAAACAGTTTTTCTCGATTATCCACTAAACCGTTAATTCTACGTAAATTTTGGTCATAATGAAATTTGTTCCTCATGCAAGTCTGCATAAAAATGATTATATACAAAATGTACGTAGGACTTGTAGTTAACGAGATATGAGACATAAAAGTTGAAGCAACGCGAAAAACAGTTTGTCTCGATTATCCAGTAAACCGTTAATTTTACGTAAATTTTGGTTATAATAAAATTTGTTCCTCATGGAAGTCTGCATAAAAATGATTATATACAAAATGTACGTAGGACTTGTAGTTCTCGAGATACGAGACAGAAAAGTTGAAGCAACGCGAAAAATAGTTTTTCTCGATTATCCACTAAACCGTTAATTTTACGTAAATTTTGGTTATAATAAAATTTGTTCCTCATGGAAGTCTGCATAAAAATGATTATATACAAAATGTACGTAGGACTTGTAGTTCTCGAGATATGAGACACTAAACCGTTAATTCTACGTAAATTTTGGTTATAATAAAATTTGTGCCTCATGGAAGTCTGCATAAAAATGATTATATACAAAATGTACGTAGGACTTGTAGTTCTCGAGATATGAGACATAAAAGTTGAAGCAAGGCGAAAAATAGTTTTTCTCGATTATCCACTAAACCGTTAATTTTACGTAAATTTTGGTTATAATAAAATTTGTTCCTCATGCAAGTCTGCATAAAAATGATTAAATACAAAATGTACGTAGGACTTGTGGTTCTCGAGATACGAGACAGAAAAGTTGAAGCAAGGCGAAAAACAGTTTTTCTCGATTATCCAGTAAACCGTTAATATTACGTAAATTTTGGTTATAATAAAATTTGTTCCTCATGCAAGTCTGCATAAAAATGATTATATACAAAATGTACGTAGGACTTGTAGTTCTCGAGATACGAGACATAAAAGTTTAAGCAACGCGAAAAACAGTTTTTCTCGATTATCCAGTAAACCGTTAATTCTACGTAAATTTTGGTTATAACAAAATTTGTTCCTCATCCAAATCTACATAAAAATGATTATATACAAAATGTGCGTAGGACTTGTAGTTCTCGAGATATGAGAAATAAAAGTTTAAGCAACGCGAAAAACATTTTTTCTCGATTATCCACTAAACCGTTAACTTTACGTAAATTTTGTATATAATAAAATTTGTTCCTCATGCAAGTCTGCATAAAAATGATTATATACAAAATGTACGTAGGACTTGTAGTTCTCGAGATATGAGACATAAAAGTTGAAGCAAGACGAAAAACAGTTTTTCTCGATTATCCAGTAAACCGTTAATTTTACGTAAATTTTGGTTATAATAAAATTTGTTCCTCATGCAAGTCTGCATAAAATTGATTATATACAAAATGTACGTAGGACTTGTAGTTCTCGAAATATGACACATAAAAGTTGATGCAACGCGAAAAACAGTTTTTGTCGATTATCCACTAAACCGTTAATTTTACGCAAATTTTGGTTATAATAAAATTTGTTCCTCATCCAAATCTACATAAAAATGATTATATACAAAATGTACGTAGGACTTATCGTTCTCGAGATATGAGACATAAAAGTTGAAGCAACGCGAAAAACAGTTTTTCTCGATTATCCAGTAAACCGTTAATTTTACGTTAATTTTGGTTATAATAAAATGTGTTCCTCATGCAAATCTACATAAAAATGATTATATACAAAATGTGCGTAGGACTTGTAGTTCTCGAGATATGAGACAGAAAAGTTGAAGCAAGGCGAAAAACAGTTTGTCTCGATTATCCAGTAAACCGTTAATTCTACGTAAATTTTGGTAATGATAAAATTTGTTCCTCATCTAAATCTGCATAAAAATGATTATATACAAAATGTACGTAGGACTTGTAGTTCTCGAGATACGAGACAGGAAAGTTGAAGCAAGGCGAAAAACACTTTTTCTCGATTATTCAGTAAACCGTTAATTTTACGTAAATTTTGGTTAGAATGAAATTTGTTCCTCATGCAAGTCTGCATATAAATGATTAAATACAAAATCTACGTAGGACTTGTAGTTCTCGAGATACGAGACAGGAAAGTTGAAGCAAGGCGAAAAACAGTTTTTCTCGATTATCCACTAAACCGTTAATTTTACGTTAATTTTGGTTATGATAAAATTTGTTCCTCATCCAAATCTACATAAAAATGATTATATACAAAATGTGCGTAGGACTTGTAGTTCTCGAGATATGAGACAGAAAAGTTGAAGCAACGCGAAAACAGTTTTTCTCGATTATCCACTAAACCGTTAATTCTACGTAAATTTTGGTTATAATAAAATTTGTTTCTCATCTAAATCTGCATAAAAATGATTATATACAAAATGTACGTAGGACTTGTAGTTCTCGAGATACGAGACAGAAAAGTTGAAGCAACGCGAAAAACAGTTTTTCTCGATTATCTAGTAAACCGTTAATTTTGGTTATAATAAATTTCGCTGTTTTTTTCTGAAATCACTGCATCTAGCGAAACCTAATACTTTTGCCAATAATAAGCAATAAATATTTTGGTTCTATCGTAATTTGACGAAAAAAGGAGTCGGGAGAAAACGGTCAAAACAAAAAAAACAAAACTTATAGAGAGCAAAATATTTATTGTTTATTATAAAAACGATTACAGTGATTAAAAAAATACCTAAATTTTATAATAAAAAAACATACCACCAGGGTTTTATTAATGTTATAATATTAGTAAGAAAAACTACAACAATTTAAAGGTTAGTTTCATTTAACAATAACTTAATAAATTAAACAATTAAAAAGAATGTGGCACAAAAAGTATGTGAGGGTAATTTAAAATGGGTGCCGCAAAGTTTTTTATTGGGGCTGTGTTGTACTAGAGACTTTGAATGTCATTTAAATGTCATTTAAATGTAAAAATGCGTAAAAGTGGGGTTAGTTTTTAATGTAGGGGTTTGCTTTACCTGCTGGTACGACTGACGTGTCGGTGCGCATGCCCAGATAGGCGATGGCGAGGAATATGAAGAACAAAGAGACTCCGGCCAATACTGAGAAAGAGACAAAGTTGTTCTTTACTATGCCGTTTTGAGCGGTGGCGCGGTAGTCGTAGGTGGTGTCGCGCCCTCTAGATGCGCGATAACTGAAAATAATTTTTTTAATACACATTTCCGTGTTTCATATCAGTGGCGGCCGTGGGTCAAAAAATAAATAAAAACTCAATTAATGTCGGATTTAAACGAATATTAAAGAATATTGTAGATAAATTAATGGACAATCGCTCACATTTTAAAAAATTACTGAAAAATAGACGTACGTTTATAATATACAGGTTTAAACAAAAAGATGTTTTTTACCATAAGTTTAAGACACTCTGTAGAGTGGCAAAACCGTATATTGTTCTAAATTAAGTTTTATTTATCAAGTCACATCTATTCTAAACAGTTTTGTTTTTGGTTCACCTCGATATATTTATTTTTGTGGAAAATATGGATTCTTTAAAAAACATTGCAATTTCCAATATTTTTCTGTATGAAGACTAAGGTTGCTATGGTCCATCCATAGGCTATGGAGGATGACAGTGACAGTTTTGTTGAATCATCCCATACTTGGACATGTCATACACGGCTTTCAAAAGCTATCAAATTGTTTTTTGCAAATTAATGTTTAAATTTTGAGGTGTCTTCTCACTTTAAAAAATGGATATGTCTCCATCTGATGTTGCCAGAGCCATTAATTTAATCCAGGATAGATGGTCACAGTGTTTTAAACGTCACAAGAATTAAAGTACAAAGGGCAACATTAGTCGGAGACATTTTTAAAAGTAAGAAGACACCTCAAAATTAACACATTAATTTACAAAAAACAATTTGATAGCTTTTGAAAGCCGTATATGGCATGTCCAAGTATGGGATGATTCAACAAAACTGTCACTGTCATCCTCCATAGGCTATGGATGGACCATAGCAACCTTAGTTCTTCATACAGGAAAAATATTTTAAATTGCAATGTTTTTTTTTAAAAAAATCCATATTTTCCACAAAAATAAATATATCGAGGTGAACCAAAAACAAAACTGTTAAAAATAGATGTGACTTGATAATTAAAACTTAATTTAGAACAATATGCGGTTTTGCCACTCTACAGAGTGTCTTAAACTGATGGTAAAAAACATCTTTTTGTTTAAACCTGTATTTTATAAACGTACGTGTATTTTTAGTAATTTTTTAAAATGTGAGCGAATGTCCATTAATTTATCTACAATATTCTTTAATATTCGTTTAAATCCGAAATCAAATAAAAAAGTTATTTGCGATTGAAATTCATCGAAAATTTGTGTGGATCGATTATTTTGCCTGTGAGTGTATATGAACAAACACTTTATTATAATGAAAAAACGCATTTTTAGTGTCGCACCCGTTACAATGGAAATACCCTTCAGTAAGAATATTCTACCGGGTCTGTATTAACAAAACTTTCGTTTAATTTGACAATTCGATTTATAAAATTATAATTTTAATTTAACTTTATAAATCATTCATTATTTTGTAGTTGGATATTTTTAATATACTTCTTTTTAATTTTATGAATAACATAAAGATTATCATCGATAAAAGAATTCAAGTTTTTAACTGACCCAAAAAAAAAATCTAGAGCGGAAAAAACAAGAATTTCGTTTTGACTTCAAATTTAACGTTAAATAACTTTTGATGGAGTGAATTTAGCCAAAAGATTTTTTTGTAGAGCATTTGATTTTCCATAAGAATATTTATCGGTTTTTTTCCGGGTACTGATTTTTACATGAATTACAAAATTCCAAAGTTAAAAGATCAAATTGTAAAACTATACCAATTTTTAAGGCATGATTGTAAGAAAACGGTTCATCTGACGGGAAATTCCAATCAAACCTTTTTTGTAGAGCATTCAATTTTCTTCAAAAAATATTCTTAAGTCAATTTTGTTAAACTCAATGGTTTGGGAGTTCTGAGCCTAAAACTTGCTGAGGAAAAAAAAATAAAATTGCGATGATAGACCTCTTAATATTAATATTATGGACTCAAACTTTCACAATAATTTTTTTTTGTCACCCCAAACCATATTTTCAATATACTTTTCAAAAAAAAAAATAGTTGATTTTTTTGGTCCAGTCTAATATTTATATTTCACGGTGCTGTTCTGAGAGGTGATTTTTGGACTTTCTGTGAAACCTAATTTTTTTTATATTCTTGTTAACTAGGTCATAACTAAAATTTTAAGAGCAAAATAAAAAAAATTTGACGGTTAATTTTGTTTTAATTGGATGTTTATTAAAAATATGTATGTACACTTTCAATTCTCCAATTAAAACTTGCGATTTTATTGAAATATTATCATATTTTAAATCAGATTAAAGATTAATTAATTTCCTAAAAAAAGGTCTATACATTTTTTATATCTTTTACTGTTTTGTTGTAATACACGTTTAAAGTTTTAATTTAAGGTTAAATGTATAGTATAAATTTATTAAACAATAATTCTAAGGGTGCCACATTTTATTTAGGGCCGATTTATTCATTTTTGATTTATTTGACGAATAATTTCTTTTGATACTAGATATTGCCAAGACATGAAAGTTATCGGCCCGATAAACTTTACTAAAGATGAATAAACAGGTCCTTAGTTAAATTTCATGAATTTTTTCGTAACTTTTACTACAATTTTTAATTTTTGTTTATAAAAAACACTTTAAAAAATTATAGAATACGTATACTGAAAATGACAATTCAAACATGGCAACCTTTAAGGATATATTAATTAAGGGAACATAAATGTATACGTCAAAGGTTAGATTAAAAGTTTGAACGTTTATTGCAACAAAACAGTAAAATATACAGGGTGTTATGTAATTAATGTTATATATTAAAATGGGTTGTTCCTTAGGGTCCATAAAGGAGCATCTGAAACTTTTTTTTTCTAAATTCCAAAGTCTAAAAATAATTTATAATAACCTTTATCCTACCAAAAAGTACGCCACTGATCGACTAGGAATTTTAGGTTAATCTGGTGGATTTATTATGTTATGGTTGGTAACAACAGTTTTTCCAAAATCTCTCAAAAAAGTTGACAAACATTGTTTAAATTTAGCTTAATTACAAAAATGACAAAATTAACAATGCAAATTGTCAATTTGGCGTTTTTATTAATTGTTGGTTATGTCATTTTTGTATTGAAGGTAAATTCAAACAAAATCTGCCAACTTTTATGACAGAATCTAGTGCACTTCTTTTAAATTTTAGGTTATGTTTTCAAATTGTAAATATCTTAACTAAGGGAAGTGCTTTTGGATTTATTTACACAAATTAAATGTTTAAAGTTTAACCTGTGAACTGGTCCCAATTTCATCTGAGTAAACAGAGAAAAAAACTGATGAAAAAATTAATTTTGTGGTTATGGATTTCAAATTTCAAAGGTACTAAATTTTCTAATCATTGCTTAAGCTAATAGCTGGATCAGTAAATAAATACAGAAGGGTATTAGTATTTTGTATTTATTGAGTTTGGCAGCGCCTAGCTACTTTGTTGGTTGGTATCTATGTACTCGGAAAATACAGGTGTGCAGAGATAAACAAGTGTGTAACCAGTGGCGTATCACAAAAAATATAAAAAACTTCTAATGCATATTTTTTCTTTATCTTTGGAAAAATGTTTTTTTAAATATTTTTCCTTTATTCCTTATGTCAAAAGGTATTCAGTATTTTAATATATAACATTAATTACATAACACCCTGTATTTTCCAACAACATTTTTTTTCCAAAAAAGCCAATTCTTGAAAAACAGTTTTCCCGCAATATTTAAAACCCTACGCGGATCTGTAGTAGGTAGTATTTGACGAGCCGCCACTGCCGTGTATCGAAAGAAAAAAAAAATCAACTCACCTCGCCAGCTGACTCCTGATCGGCGCATACCCGCTCGACCCGTTGCTATCCTGCTCCTTGATCACTTGATCGTTCTTGTAGTCGTAATCCCTGGTCTTCGACGCGCCCATAGACGACAGCCGCCTGGTGAAGTTGCTCAAAAAACGGCGTCCTCCTCCTCGCTAGCGCCCCCCTATCGACGAATCGTGGCCCGAAAACGTCCGAGACGCCCCTCTCCTCGAATTTCGACGTAGATATCGTTGAGGAGGAAACCGGGCGCTCGTAGGAATGCGAGTTGTTCAGCGACAATCTCGAGCGTATCTGGTTGAGGCGCTCGCTGGCGTAGTCGCTGGCGCTGCTGCCCGCCAGAGGGCGCTCCGACGCGGCGGTGAAAGCCGAGGAGATGCGAGCGGTCGAGTTTCGAGAGTACGGAGTGTCGGGCGATTTCGTCGGCGAGTATTTGGACGACGCGAACGAAGAGCTGAACGAGCTGGCGGCCGATTTTATCGGCGACGCTGTAAAGAACGAGTTTTTCGTGTTTAAGGGGTTACATACATTTGTGCTGGGTTTATTATTATAACATATACTCTTAAGAATATGTACTCAAAATGTCATCAAGAGCACTAGAACTAAGCAATTTATAGCGCGCCTACCTCACGAAAATTTAAAGGCAAATTAAATGATTTCTCGAAAACCAATTTACCAAACGATCTGAAATTTGCAAGTGTTGTTCCTAATTACAATAGCTCCTTCATGAACGAAGGGATTTTCATTTGGACGAAAGTTCTATTTTTTTCGGCCGGAAAACTCAATTTTTTGTACCCTTAAAACCCTTCATTCACGAAGGGGGTAATACTATGTACTAATATATAGGTTTTTTCATTAAGATCTGTTGGGCGGTTTTTGATATTTCATGCTCACCGCACCGGTATATTTATAATTAAAAATTTTTTTTTTAAATTCCCATTTTGCAAAATTTGCAAAATATTAAATTTTTCAAAACTAAAAATAAACAAAATTATGATGGCATCGGTTTTTTATACTATTCCTTTATATTAAAAACCATCATTCGAAATTTAAGACATTTTTAAAATTTTAGAAATTTAAAAAATCTACATTTTGCAGATCATTTTTAATTAAGTAAATTAAGTAAATTGTATGAAATAATAGGACTTAATGTAATTGATATGTGATATGCAAAATAAAATAGTTAAAAGTTAATTTCTTAGTACAGGTGGTGTGGAAGAACGTCCTTACGAACGCTGCCTTTTGTGTAAATAATTGTTTTTGTTTTTTTTACACAATAAAGCATTTTTATTATTATTATTATTATTATTATTAATTGTGCAATTTTAAAAATTTCCACAATCATAATTTTGTTACTTTATAATTTCAGAAGATTAAAAATGTAAAAAATGTTAATTTTGCATATTTTCATAAATCAAAAAAATCCACATTTTGCAATATAAATTTTAAAAATCATCATTCAAAATTTAAGACATTTTTAAAAATTTATAAATTTTTAAAAATCTACATTTTGCAGAACATTTTTAATTTTGCAATTTTTAAAATTTCCACCATCATTATTTTGTTTATTTTTTAATTTCAGAAGACTAAAAAATGTTCATTTTGCATATTTTTCATAAATTAAAAAAATCCACATTTTGCAAATATAAATTTTAAAAATCATCATTCAAATTTAAGACATTTTTAAAAATTTATAAATTTAAAAAAATCCACATTTTGCGAATATAAATTTTAAAAATCACCATTCAAATTTTAAGACATTTTTAAAAATTTATAAATTTTAAAAATCTACATTTTGCAAAACATTTTTAATTTTTGCAATTTTTAAAATTTCCACCATCATAATTTTGTTTATTTTTTAATGTCAGAAGATTAAAAAATGTCAAAAAATGTTTATTTTGCATATTCTCTATAAATTAAAAAAATCCATCATTCAAAATTTAAGACATTTTAAAAATTTATAAATTTAAAAAATCTACAATTTTGCAGAATATTTTTAATTTTGCAAATCATCATTCAAAATTTAAGACATTTTTAAAAATTTATAAATTTAAAAAATCTACATTTTGCAGAACATTTTTAATTTTGCAATTTTTTAAATTTCCACCATCATAATTTTGTTTAATTTCAGAAGATTAAAAAATGTCAAAAAATGTTCATTTTGCATATTTTCATAAATTAAAAAAATCCACATTTTGCAAATACAAATCATCATTCAAAATTTATAAATTTAACAAATCTACATTTTGAAGAACATTTTTAATTTTGCAATTTTCAAAAATTTACACCATCATAATTATGTTTATTTATAATTTCAGAAGTTTAAAAAATGTTCAATAATGTTTATTTTACAAAAATTTTCAAATTTTGCATATATGCAAAGATTTTGGAAAAATTAAAAAATCATCATCAAATGTTTTCAAAATGTCAAATTTAAAAAAAAAACACATTTAAAATTTAAAAAAAAACTTAAATACATCAAAATCAGGATGGCACCGTTTTTATTTTTTATAAAAAGTACCTTACCTCTAAACTCTGTGTTGTTTGTAGACTTGACAATGATGTCGGATTCGGAATCAGAACCTGTGTCGAAATCATCTTGGGCACTTCTGACCATCTTTGAAGACCTCGAAGTGGTCAAGACAGTTTTAGTTTCCTTTTTGGGCGAACCTCTTATTGTGGGCAGAGAGGGCTCTGGATCGCTATCATTCAACCTAAATAAATAAATAAATAAAACAAACAAATGGGGTAGTTAAATTTTTTCTAACCTATCCTTTTTATGGTTTTATTCAAGGCGTTTTGTAATTTTAAACATTTCCGTGAAATCGGAATTTCAATTGAGTTTACCGTTTTCGAGATATTTACAAAAAAAAATCTCCTAATTACGTCACTAGGCTATTGACAACGTTGCCAGCTTTTTTCTATGGTTGCCAGTGTGTTTAGTTTAAGATTCTTACGATAGATGACGCCACGTTATAATATTTTAGTTTTAAAACCACTTGATCTATAATTTTAGTCGAGAAGAAGAAGAAAAATTGATTTTTTGACGTTTTTTTTTTCGGGTTATGTTTTTTTTTTAAATTTAGATTATTGAAAATTCAATGTTATTTGTAATTGATATTAGATAAGTGATTTATTAATAACGGACTCCAAAGCAGAGGAATCTTGTGGAATGGTTGGTTACATTGAACATTGGAGCTTTAAACAAATAAAGTAAGTACCTATAATTATAATCATATTTTGTCGTAAATGCATTTCATTAGTATAATGCTCAGTTCTTTATATTTCTTTTAGATATATCTTGGACTCTAAAATATCAAACAGTAATATGATACCTCGTTATAAGGAATGAATTTGGTGACCATCTTTCACTCAACTTACAGTGACAGTATTTGTACGGGTATTTTCTGACATAACCGAATGAAATCATTAACAAGACAACTTGACAACAGGGTAATTTTCAACCAATAGAAATCTTAGAATGTTGGTCACATGGCGAGGTTTGTGACGTCACAAAAATTTATATTTTTCGTAAATATCTCGAAAACGGTAAACTCAATTGAAATTCCGATTTCACAGAAATGTTTAATGTTACAAAACGCCTTGAATAAAACCATAAAAAGTATAGGTCAGAAAAAATAACCCCATTTAGAGAACTCTCTATTAAAAAATGATGACAAGATGACAAACTCAACTTGAACACTTTACTGTTTAAGTAGAGATGGGGTTATTTAGATGCAATGGGATAAAATCCGTTTTGAAGGAAATGATTTCATTTGAGCCTGATTTTATTTTACCTATTTTACCTAAATTTATATTTTCAAGAGAAATGGACCTAATTTTTAAATTTTACCAAATAAAATAATGTGATTTTACTTATTTTACCCAAATTCTTATTTTTAACAGAAATTAACTAAATTTTTAAATTTAACATAAAAAACATGCTTTTTTGTAATATTGGGTTTTTATTCAGATGACATAAGTACATAGGTACCTTTGGTAATATTTTTACAAGATATTTTTGTCAGTTATTTTTAAATTTTTCAAATCATAAAAATCTTCTTCAATATTTTATACAATAATACATTTAATTATTTTACCACCTAAAAGTTGCTTTCCAGTACTTATTTTCATAACTTGGCCTATTTAGGTACCTATTTATTTATATATTTTGCAACCTAAAATCCCATCTCTAATGATGACTTGTATATGATAAGGTAAAAATTTTTAAGATGCCATCTTCAAAATTTCAGAAATTTTAAAAATTTCAGAAACTTAAAATATATTTCAAAATTTCAGAGTTTTTAAAAATCACCTTAAAATAGACCGTTTTTTTTATAATTTCAGAAATTTAAAAAATCCTCATTCAAAATTTAGGATTTCCAAAATCTTTACGTAAAATATTTTAAATTTTGCAAAATATTCAATATTTCCAAAATTTTAAAACTTTACAAACAAACAAAATTATGATGGCACCGTTTTTTTATATAATTTTAGAAATTTTAAAAATCCTGATTCAAAATTTTGGAGTGCAATTTTAAAACTTTCATTCAAAATTTCAGAAATATTTAAAAGTTTAGAAATTTTTAAAATGTACACTTTGCAAAACATTTTAATGTTGCAATTTTCAAAATGTCCACAAATAAACAAATTTAGAATGGCACCAGTACGCAAAATATTTTAAATTTTGCAAAATATTCAATATTTCCAAAATTTTAAAAAGTATAGGTCAGAAAAAATTTAACTACCCCATTATTTCCCTCGAAAAAAAAAACAAACTATAAAAACTACACACCTAGAGTTGCTGCGGCGACTTCTGGACGTGGGCGGTTGCATAACAGGGGCGGCCATGGTAGCCCGGCGATTGTCTTTTTTTTTCGTAGCCCTCTCTTCCTTTTCCTTGCCGTTTTCCTCGTCGCAGCTCGACCAGTCGCCCATCGACTTTCTATCCTCGTTGGCGGAAATTTTGCTTCTGTTGTCCATGAGCATCTTCAGCTTTTTCGACATCACTTTGCGCGTGGTGCCGGTGATCGGCATCACCGGGAAACCGAACTCGAGGAGTTTGGTGCGCAACTCGGCGTCGGTTAGCTTGTCAACGTCGACCATCTTTGGGAAAAGATAAAATAAAAAATGCTTATTTAAAACTTTACAAATAAACAAAAAAAAATTATTTTATATTTTCATTTTGCAAAATATTAAATGTTTGCAATGTTTTTCCAAAATATTTGCAATGTTTTTACAAAATGTTAAATGTTTGCAATATTTTTAAAACTAAAAATAAACAAAATTGAGAAAATTATAAGTGTGATTATTATAAAAATCCACATTTTACAAAATTTTAAATTTTGTAATTTTCAAAATTTTAAAAATCTACAAAATTTTTACAAAACATTTTTGAAATTTTTAAAACTAAAAAATAAACAAAATTTTGATGGGTCCGGTTTATTTTATAAATTCAGAAATTAAAAAAATCCACATTTTGCAATGTTTTTACAAAATATTAAATGTTTGCAATATTTTTGCAAAATTTTTAAAACTAAAAATAAACTTTTGCAAAATATTAAATGTTTGCAATGTTTTTGCAAAATTTTTAAAACTAAAAATAAACAAAATTGTGAAAATTATAAGTGATTATTATAAAAATCCACATTTTACGAAATTTTAAATTTTGCAAAATTTTCAAAATCTTCATAATTTTCAAAACTAAAAATAATCCAAATTTCAGATATTAAAAAAAAACAAAATTGTGAAAATAATAAATTTACACAAATTACATGCAAAGTTTGCAATGTTTTTGCAAAATATTAAATGTTTGCAATATGTTTGCAAAATTTTTAAAACTAAAAATAAACAAAATTGTGAAAATTATAATTGTGAAAATTATAAAAATCCACATTTTACGAAATTTTAAATTTTGCAAATTTTTCAAAATCTTCATAATTTTGAAAACTAAAAATAATCAAAATATCAGATATTTTAAAAATCCTCATTTTGCACAATAAATAATTTTGCAAAATTTTCAAAATCTGCAAAATTTTCAAAAATAAAAATAAACAAAATTATGATGTCACTGGTTTTTTTATACTGTTACAGAAATTTTATAAATCAAAATTTCAGAAATGTTCAAAATTTTAAAAATCTACATTTTACAAAACATTTTTGAAATTTTTAAAACTTATGATGGGTCCGGTTTATTTTATATTTTCAAAAATTAAAAAATTTTCACATTTTGCAAAATATTAAATGTTTTTTGTAAAATTTTTAAACAAAATTGTGAAAATTATAAAAATCTACATTTTACGAAATTTTAAATTTTCAAAATCTTCATAATTTTCAAAACTAAAAATAAGCAAAATTTCAGATATTTTAAAAATCCTCATTTTGCAAAATAATAAATTTTGCAAAGTTTTCAAAATCTACAAAATTTTCAAACCTAAAAATAAACCAAATTATGATGGCACTTGGTTTTTTATACTGTTTCAGAAATTTTATAAATCATCAATCAAAATTTCAGAAATGTTCAAAATTTTAAAAATCTACATTTTACAAAACATTTTTGAAATTTATATTTTCAAAAATTCCACATTTTGCAAAATATTTAATTTTTGCAAAATTTTTAAGACTAAAAGTAAACAAAATTGTAAAAATCCACATTTTACGAAATTTTAAATTTTGCAAAATTTTCAAAATCTTTATAATTTTCAGAACTAAAAATAAGCAAAATTTCAGATATTTTAAAAACCTCATTTTGCAAAATAATAAATTTTGCAAAATTTTCAAAATCTACAAAATTTTCAAATCTAAAAATAAACAAAATTATGATGGCACTGGTTTTTTTATACTGTTACAGAAATTTTATAAATCATCAATCAAAATTTCAGAAATGTTCAAAATTTAAAAAATCTACTTTTACAAAACAGTTTTGAAAATTTTAAAACCTATGATGGGTCTTGTTTATTTTATATTTTTAAAAATTAAAAAATTCCACATTTTGCAAAATATTAAAAATCTACAATTTACAAAACATTTTTAAAATTTTTAAAACTTATGATGGGTCCGGTTTATTTTATAATTTCAGAAATTTAAAAAATCCACATTTTGCAAAACTTGCAAACTATAAATTTCGCAAATTTTGCAAAACAGAAAGTTTTACAAATTTTGCAAAATATTAAATTTTGCAAAATTTTTTAAATCTCCAAAATTTTCAAAACAAAATTGTGAAAAAAATAAACATACACAAATTACAAAATATTGCAAAATCTCGAAAATTTTCAAAAATCCACATTTTGCAAAAATTTTAAAATCTGCAAAATGTTCAAAACTAAAAATATACAAAATTATGATGGCACCAGTTTTTATACTTTAACAGAAATTTTCAAAATCTACATTTTACAAAACCTTTTAAATAATGCAATTTTTAAAACTTAAAAAACAAAATTATGATGGGACGATTTCAAAATTTTTAAATTTTGCAAATTTTCAAAATTTTTAAAACAAAATCGTGAAAATAATAAAAATACACATTTTACAAAATATAAAATTTTGCAAAATCTCCAAAATATTATAAAATCCACATTTTGCAAAATTTTTTAAATCTCCAAAATGTTTAAAACTAAAAGTAAAAATAATTATCATGGTACCAGTATTTTAATACAACTTCAGAAATTTTAAAAATCCTCACTCAAAATTTTCAATATTTCCACAATTTTTAAAACAAAGTTTATTTTATAATTTCAGAAATTTAAAAAATCCAAATACCTACACATTTTACAAAATACAAAATTTTGCAAAATCTCCAAAATTTTCAAAACTAAAAATAAACAAAAGGAAAAGATCAAATAAAAATGCTCATTTAGGGAATTGCTAAAATGAATATTTATAAAAGTTAAGTTCTTTGTTTTTGGAGATCTCATAAGATCATTTAGGGGTTGTTTTAATGTTTTAAGGTCTCTAAGTTGTAAAACAACGGGTTTTTTCAGATTTCACAAAAGAGTCTTACTCGACAAATTTTTTTTGCAAAGTTTTAATTTGTGTTTCGCGTATATATATAATTTTTTGTTTGATTTCGACATCTTTAACGCAGTTAACACATTAATATTTGAAATATTTCCAACGAAAGTGCAAATTTCATTACATTCCAAAACATCGTTATTACGAAAGTTCAAACAAGCTGAATAAACAAAACCCACAATAATAATACTATAGATATTAAATACAATATAACATATTCGTTAATTAATGTGAAATTGTCCCAAATTTGGTAACAGCGTCTAAAGTTGTATGTCAATGAATTACGGTAAAAAAAAGCATGGTTATATTTCATATTTGAGGTTAAATATAACAAAAACGGGAAACTTCTCACCTTAATTTTATTTCTCCAACAATCCAACACAAAATATATCGATACTAACGTAGAAGCCAACGAAAAATCACATTTGATTCTCGTAAAACGTCTCTAAACCTCTGACCTTGAGCTAAAAAATATCGAAATCGGTTAAAATACACTCACCGGTCCGATTCTACATTCGAATTATCGATCATTAACTTACTTTTGCGCTATAACATCCACTTTTCCGCCTATTTTCAACGAAAAACACCACAAAAAGCGACTTCAAGTTTACACACGCACCGAACCATATATAGCGGTGACGTTTCTCAAAATGGCGGCCGGAATGGGCGCGAATTGAAAATTAGCGCTCTTTAAATTTAATTATTTTATTAATTAACAACAAAAACCATCAAAATTGATCCTTGGTTATATTATTTATGAATTTTATTTTTAATACGGAGATTGTTTATTAATTATATTGCAAATTTTAAATTTTTCTAAATAAATCAAGTTGGTAGAATGTAAATGCTACATAACCTCAATGTTTCACAATCGTTAACTGTCAGTTTTGTAAAATAAACAAACCTACTAAAAGTTCAAAATGTGTCGTTGAAAATAGTATATTATGTAAAGTTCGTTTTTTTATTCGGGATTTGACCATTTGACACATTTGATTATGTTGGTATTGTATGTTAATATGCATACATTAAATTGGTACTCCTGTGCAATCCCTTAAATTTAAATACATTGATATTTGTCATTTAACAGTCAGAATTATATTAAATATATGTGTATTTTCTCTTTTGGGCTGTAAAGTCACCCACATTTCATCAAAGGTAAAGTTATTGCATGTTTTAACATTTTTTATTTGACATTTCAAAGTTAATTAACAATCATAAAATTATAACTTTTGATAATCAGCTGTCAAACGCGTGTATTTACCGGTTTTCCAATAAACAGTGTTAATATAAATGAAGAAATAAATTGCATACAGTCTCTGTAAATATAAATTGTACCTATTAGATACAATAAATACACATTTTAGTAGTGATTAACGTGAAAAGTGTAAACATTTCAATTCAGTAAAAATCGTCAAACAAATAAGTCGTCTAAATTTAAACAGCATTTAGCATTATTAAAAGCGTTGATTAAGAAAGTCTCCACTCAAGTTGAGTGACTCAACGGTAAAATACCAATATATTATGTATTATTATGTATTATATATAATATGTTGCCATGAATTCGTAGGTATATTTTGTTGTTTAAAATGCAGTTGTCGGCGTTTTTTAGAGAACTCAAACATAAAAATGGTTGATTTTAAGGTTATGTTTGTGCAAAAATTATTTTTTACTAATTTCTTAAAAATGCCCAAACTTAAATATAAATTATATTAGGTAAAGTTATCATTAGTTAATTCTGCACCAACAAATGTACTTACCGAATTGGATCCTTTGGCAAAACATGAAAATGCAACGATTTAGTTCTTGAATTTTTTGGTTAAAAGATTTATGTTTTTTAAAATTTTTTCAATATCAAGAATCAAAAAATATTCTACGCCAAAATGCTACATTGCCCATCCCTAAAATATTGTAGTATTGACTAAAATTTCTAGAACCGTCTCAAAACACACCAAAACTCTCAGTACGTTCTAAAATCATCAGTTCTGTTTAAAATGCCCTAAACCGTCAGTACCTTAAAATTTTAACTTAAAAAAAATTTCCCATAATCTTCAGTACTATCTAAAATGTCTCAAATTGGCCAAGTACTATCTGAAGTGTCAAAAAAGAAGTCCTAAATCGTCCCAGTACTATCTTAAATTTTTGCTTTTATTTCACTACTAAAATGTGTATTTATTGTATCGAGCCACGGTTTTTTTTCGATATTTTTTTAACATTTTCCGGCTTTATTCTCAAAACCACAAGTTTTACTAACTTCAGCCTGTGATTAAAGTCGGCAGAAAGAAGGGATTATAAATAAACTTTTTTTTTAATATTTATTACCAGCATCTTAAAACTACAATAATTATTAATACAATGCATTTAAAAATAAGTATGAGGGGGTTTTATAATTCATATTACAAAAAATTTCGGTTATTTAGGTTTAAGATATATACTATACATACTATAGTAGTAGTAGCTGATAGATTAATAAGCTGTTAACAAATTTATTATTTGTTTCTAATATTTTTTTGAGATTTTAAAGAGGTTTAAACTATATACTATACATACTGTAGTAGTAGTAGCTGACAGATTAATAAGCTTAATATTTTTTTAATAAGCTTAATATTTTTTTAAGATTTTACTTTTTTTAAATATTTACTTTATTAATATAACAGTATAAATTAATAATTAAATTACGGATCAATAAAAACGATGTGTTCCTATTGTGGAAGCTTCAACAAAATGTTTTTTCTGTGTACTTAAAACCTCTTTCTTCAACCATTCTTCTTCTATCTCTATTCCTTCCAACTCATCATCCAAATCCTTTAATTTTATATTTTCCTGTTGGAATTGTCTGTTTGGGTTATTTTCTTTATCTCTGCTGAGCTTTTCCAACTCCTCATTGTACGCTTGTATGTTTTTCTCGTGCTCTTCTTTTTCTCTTTCAAGTTCCCTTTGTCTTTCTCTATTTTTTTCGAGGTTATCCTCGATTTGTTGTTTGACGGTTGCCAGCACTTCTTTCAGTAAATTTTGTCGATCTTTTTCTTCACTTTTCCACACCTCAGATTGTCTCTCAAAAATGATCTTTGCTTCCGAATCAAAGACGAAGTCCAATTCCTTTTCTCGATCCTTTTCCAACTCTTGTTGCATTTTGACCAAGTTGGCGTACTTTTCAAAGCTTTCCTTGACCTGCTGGCGGTTCATGGCGTCGTGTATAACCCTGTCGAGTTCCAGATTCTCCAGCTTTAGAAGGATCTCGTTCTCCATGGCCAGATTCTCCTGGATATCTATGGCCTTCTGTTTTAGTTTCTGTTTGTGTTCTCGGATGTTATAGAGGGCGCATTCTCTCGCCAATCGGCGGCTTTCCTCCTGCAAATGCCAATCTAGTATCTCCTCCACGCTCTTCTTCTTCTTGTACTGGTCGTCTAAAATTTGCTGCAACGTTTCGACTTCTTTTTCTTTTTGCTTTAGTTCCTCCATTTGTTCCTTGATGAGTTTCGTGTGCAACTCTGCCTCGGTGAGGTCATCAACGTCGGCCATCTTGAAAAAAGTTTTTTTTAGAAAAAAAATTACAAATCCACTCACAGGCAAAATAATCGATCCACACAAATTTTCGATGAATTTCAATCGCACATAACTTTTTTATTTGATGTCGGATTTAAACGAATATTAAAGAATATTGTAGATAAATTAATGGACAATCGCTCACATTTTAAAAATTACCAAAAAATACACGTACGTTTATAATATACAGGTTTAAACAAAAAGATGTTTTTTACCATAAGTTTAAGACACTCTATAGAGTGGCAAAACCGTGTATTGTTCTAAATTAAGTTTTATTTATCAAGTCACATCTATTTTTAACAGTTTTGTTTTTGGTTCACTTCGATATATTTATTTTTGTGGAAAATATGGATTTTTTAAAAAAACATTGCAATTACCAATATTTTTTCTGTATGAAGAACTAAGGTTGCTATGGTCCATCCATAGGATGACAGTGACAGTTTTGTTGAATCATCCAATACTTGGACATGTCATATACAGCTTTCAAAAGCTATCAAATTGTTTTTTGTAAATTAATGTTTTAATTTTGAGGTGTCTTCTTACTTTAAAAAATGTCTCCGACTTATGTTGCCCTTTGTACTTTACTTCTTGTGACGTTTAAAACACTTGCCACGTAATACTGTGACCGTCCATCCTGGATTAAATTAATAGCTCTCTCAACATCAGTCGGAGACATATCCATTTTTTAAAGTAAGAAGACACCTCAAAATTTAAACATTAATTTGCAAAAAACAATTTGATAGCTTTTGAAAGCTGTATATGGCATGTCCAAGTATGGGAGGATTCAACAAAACTGTCACTGTCATTCTCCATAGCCTATGGATGGACCATAGCAACCTTAGTTCTTCATACAAAAAAATATTGGAAATTGCAATGTTTTTTAAAAAAATCCATATTTTCCACAAAAATAAATATATTGAGGTGAACCAAAAACAAAACTGTTAAGAATAGATGTGACTTGATAAATAAAACTTAATTTAGAACAATATACGGTTTTGCCACTATACAGAGTGTCTTAAACTTATGGTAAAAAACATATTTTTGTTTAAACCTGTATATTATAAACGTACGTCTATTTTTTAGTAATTTTTTAAAATGTGAGCGATTGTCCATTAATTTATCTACAATATTCTTTAATATTCGTTTAAATCCGACATCAAATAAAAAAGTTATTTGCGATTGAAATTCATCGAAAATTTGTGTGGATCAATTATTTTGCCTGCGAGTGTAGTATTTGACAGCAAAAAATTTGTTTTGTTTTTTTTCTTCTAAAGTTTATAAAAAATCGTTAAAAGGTGGTATCAATATTGAACCACCAGGCCTCAAAGGTTTTTACCCTTTAAAAAATACAAAAAATTTAAAAGGGTTATAATTATTTGAAGAAAAAAGGGCTAGTTTTTGAAAACTTTTGGTTGGGTGATAAAATTCTGATATACAAAAAATTCAGCCAAATCAAATCAAAATGCTCGATTTGACAATTCGTTATTGATTTAAAAATAATCGATTTTAAAAATTTAGTTTTTAGTTTGCAGCACTTTTCTTCAAAAGATAAATGACTACAAACCAATTTTTTTTTAATCGGTCTATTTTTAAATAAATACCGAATTCTCGCCAATCAAAATGAAACGCACTGTATGTAGATTACCCTATTTTCCCAAGTTGTTTTTTTTTATAAAAATAATAAAAACTATAACTTGCTTATTAAAAGACATGTCACAATACAAAATACAAAATTTTGTTGGAAATTTTATGCTTTACAAAAAATACTTTTTGAGTTTATTCGTAAAACCATTTATTTAAATGATATTGGAGGTCAAAGTTTAAAATAAATAATTAAAAATTAAAAGTACCTACCTATCATAAAAAAATTATTATTTTTTTTAATTGTTTGTAGACGGTAAAGAAATAGTTTAGATGGTACCCAAGCAAAAAAAAAACAATTATAAATTTAAAAAAAAAGTAAATACTTAATGACAATCAAAATGTTAAATCTTATTTTAAATTTTAAATGGATGATTTTACGAAAAAAACTTAAAATACTTTTTTTGTAAAGCGTAAAATTTACTACAAAAATATGAATTTCCAAACAACAACAACTGTTTTCAATATACCTACATAACCAAGAATTTTAATGCTGCATTCACAATCCATTGTGACTGCATTAAATACAAAAACATAATTAATTATAATGTAGGTAATGTCAATTAATATCAGGAAAAAAGCCGGGCATATTGTGTGTTGTGCCATAGAAAATGAGTCTACTTCTTACCTTATTCTAATGTTTTAAACCACCAGAAAAATAATACAATCGTAGAAACACAGATTATAAAACTGCGTAGAAAGCTGAAAAAATAACAAGATCAGTTAAAATGCACTCACCGGCGCGATTATACATACGTATGAATTATTGTTTATAATCTTACACTGAAGCATAGACTTCTCGCTTATTTTCAACGAAAAACACCACAAAAATCAACACAACGATTCGCCCAAACGGTGTTATATATTCTGAGTCAGAATTTCTGACATACACTTCTGCAGTGCCGCTGCAAAATAATAGACTTTCCAGAAATTTCTCTGTGCACAATGCAGTAAAATTTCAGAATTATTTCTAAAATATTACTGACATATTTCAGATATATAACCGAAATATTTCTCACATATTTGAGAAATATTTCATTGAAACATTATGCGGACATTTATATATTTCAGAAATACTACTGACATATTTCTAAAATATTTCAGTTAAATAACCGAAATATATCATATTTCAATGAAATATTTCTGACATATTTCTGAAATATTTTTTGCCGTGTGGGAACACTAGATTGTATATATGCATTAAATGCCATTATAATATTATATATATAATATATTATGTATTTATACTTATTGATTGGGATTAAACTTTTAATAAATATTTATTAAAAGTTTAATCCCAATCAATAAGTATAAATACATATGCTATATAGCAGTACTTTGACATACTATTCGCCAATTTATCTATATGACTTTTCCACGCCTAAAAATGATACACTATCTGTAGTTTCTAAAGTAAGATTAGAGCTATTTAATTTATTTATGTTTTTTGAAAATTAATTATTTGAGTTTTATTTTTGTTTAAAAGAAGATTATTTGATTTAAACCAATTATCTAAAATTTCCATTGACGACCGAATTTGGCAATCTGCATTTTCAATTGCGTCTAAACTAAATATTAGAGACGTGTCATCGGCATATTGTATTATGTTTTTCTTAATAATATACGGAAGTTCGTTCGTATAGATAATGTAAAGAAGGGGCCCTATAGGGAACCTTGTGGCACTCCTTTTTCAATTAAAATTTTTTCAGGCTTCAATAAATTTCAATAAGATATAAATAAATTTAAAGATACTCCTCTAATCCCGTAAAGTTCCATTTTTTTAAATAATAATTGATGATCGACACTATCGAAAGCCTTAGACAGATCAATGCATAATAAGAAAGTATTTTTATTTAAGTTTTGTGATTTAACTATATTACAAAGTGCTTGAAAATTCGCTCGAATTGTAGATTTCTTTTTCCTAAAACCATTTTGAGAATCATTTAGGATTAGATTACTTTCTAAAAATCTATTTTGCCTATATTACTTAGTAAAGCAACAGGTCTAAAATTTGTTATATCCCTTTTGTTGCCTTTTTTATGTATTGCCTTGATTTCAGCATGTTTTAAATTTTGAGGAAACTCTCCTTTTTCAAGAATTAAATTAATTATATGACATAGAGGAAAAGATAGTTCGACAGAATTATATTTCAAAATTCTTAGATTTATTTCGTCCTCTCCTGTAGAATTTGTATTTTTAAGAGTATTTATTATATCGATAATTTCGTTTGGATGGGTTGGATATAAATATAAGGTTTTATTTGTTGGTATAATGACTTATAGATTTTCGCTATTTTGAATTGCAATTGTATTAGGACATGCATCTCTAAAAAATAAATTAATTTCATTTAATTTCTCTTTACTAAGTTTATTATCGCAGAGGCTTTTTACAACATTGTTATCTTTGTTTTTATTACTAGAATGTTTATTTATTAAACTCCAGGCCGACTTTGCTTTATTCTTTGAATTTAAAATGTAGTTATCGTTAAATAGTTTTTTGGCTTCTAAGACAACTTGTTTAAGTATATTTGAGTACTTAGAGTAAGTAATATTTTTTGTCAATTAAATTGTTAATGTATTTATAATATAGTTTCCTTTTATTTTTACTAGATATCCTAATTCCTTTGGTTATCCATCTGTTTTCTTTGGAATAAGTTGGAACCTTTACGTGTACAGGGTGGTCCACGTAAGGTGACCCATATACTTATCTCAGAAACTACTGGAGTCACAAAAAATTTGTAAGAAACAAATATTCACGAAGTAAAAAATATTTTTAAAATATTATATTTTCATTTATACAGGGTGTTCGGTTTTCCTTGGGACGATACCAACTTTCTTATTTTCAATGGAACACCCTGTATTTTTTTGCATTTTTGGATTCTTCACACTCTTTTAGGTATACTTTGTTAATATATTAAATAAGAAAATGTTAATACTTTTTGAGTAAAATTAAGATTTATTAAAATTTCTCTAAATGTAGACACTCGCTAAAAGTTAAAAATAACCAACTAAAAGTTATTATTTTTTATATTATGTAGTATCCATCTCTTTAATAATAAGTAAGCTTTAAGTTAATTATTATATTTTTTGGAAAATATCATACAGGGTGTTTTCTATGTCCCGTTGAAAATAGCGATTTTAAAAGTTTAAAATCTTGTTTTTCTTCAATGGAACACCCTATATATTTTTGCATAATTGGATAGAATAAGTAATTACCTTTCATTTTATATATATATGTCCTATACCTAAACCTAACAGAAAAAAAAATATTCGCATTTTTCACAATTAGTAACTTTTTTCCAATTACCTTAGTTAAATTTTCATTATTCAAAGAAA